GATATTAAATAAGAGTGGGGACAAGGGGCATCCTTGTCTGGTCCCCTTTTTCAGTGGGATTGTGTTAGTCAGGCCATTGATATTCTCCATCTGTGGACTCTGTGATGTCATCTTAAACCTTTTTGTTGAGAGTTTTCTACTTTCATTTCTCATTAGTGTGTTGTGTATGTGTATGTGTATCATTCTTGGCTTCTTTCCATCCTTAAGCCAATGCTATCTTGGGGTCTGTTTTCTCTTTGTTGCCCACAAACTGTGTTATATTTATTGTGTGGGTATTAATTTTCAATAAATTTGAAAAGAATATAAAGTATCATTTGGTTCTTTTTCAAATCTTGTTTTGTCATTTTTGATACCTCTTATTGTTGACTCATTTTAGTGATTCCAACTTCAGTTGTTTCGATGACATATTTGTATTTGGTATTCTCTCTCTGAAACATTCTGATAAATCAGCCCTAGAACACCTAACTTTGTTGTTCCTTTTTCCTCCTGGCTCTTGTCTATCGGGGGTTGTTTGGTTAGTGTGATCTCAGATTGGAAGTTTATATTGACATTACCTTAACAGATCATATTCTTAGAAAACTCTGTGATCTAGTCTGAGGATGCTGTCTTTAGATAGAATTCGGATTACTTTTGCAGGGACTCAGTCAAAGGTATCTCTCACTGAGCTAAGAGAGCATCAACTTCCTCCCGAGATATCAGACTTAACAACGGGTCTCATCTCCAACCTCCCCACCTTATCTTCTGCCCCTTGTCAGCCCAGCGCGGCTCTGCCCTCAAGAATTCTCATGGACTCTTTCTATTCAGACCGCTCCAGTGCCCACCACAAAACTGTTCTGTGGCTTACCCATTTCCCCAGCACTCAGGTTTCCTTCCTTCCCGCAAGTTCAGTTACATGACTTCCAGTCTGGGACATGCAGAACCGACTTCTTCTATAGCAAGGGGGATCCTCAATGAAGCTGGTGTTCTGCTGGAAAGGGATGTTGCCTCTTAGTTTTCTTCATTAGAATCTCAAAGGAAAAAAAGAAAGAAAGTCTGAAAGGTGAAATGATAGGTCTAGCTTGGGCACTAAAATAGACATGGTAATGCATTTCCTGTCCTCTGCACGGAGGATCTTTTTCCAAATCCGATTATGGGTAGCAAAGCTAAGTGCTTGTTGTGTGTGTGTGTGTGTGTGTGTGTGTGTGTACTTTATGTGTATACTTTTACATATATCCATTTTGTGCTGAGGCTGAGGAGAGAAATGTTATGGGGAAGAAATTGCAAAACAGCCCTACAGAGAACAACTGAATCATGTAAAAATCCAGAATCATATTTGACCCAACTAAAATAACTTAAAAAGAGGGCAGCTGTGACTCTCCATTAATTATCAGGGTTTTATTGCTTTTTTTTTTTTTGGTTGTTGTTGTTCCTGAATTGTACTCAAACTATATTTTATGTATCCTGAGGAATTAATTTCTCATCACTTTAATTACTTGGATATTGAACAGTCTGTTTGGGAATGTAATAGACTACTTAAACTGACAGCTCACCCACAGGGTTTTTGAGGCGGATAGCGGTAGAGAGCTGTGTCTAATTCAAGATTCCAGTTCCTGTCTCTCTTCACATAAGAAATGGTCTAAAAAGTGCACTGGCTGTTTTAATTAGCATGCAAGCGGAGTCTTACATCCAAAGGCAAACCTAATAATTTAATTGCGTCTAATGCAAGGTGATAAAAGAAGAAAATTTCGGGAGAGTATGAGGTCGAACACTATCATCTGAATTATTGGCAATATGAATATTATCGTTTATTAAGCACCCGCCAAGGGCTAGGCGCAGAGACAACCTTTCTCTTTCTCTGCTAAGCGCATTGCCACAGCAGAGGATGGCAGGAGTTTATTGTTCTGGGTAGTGATCCTGGTCTGAATTCCGAATAAAACTGCCCCGTGCGAGCCCCTGCTCCTCGAATGCTAACTTCCTAACCTGGGGGGACTACACGAACATAGCACCTCCGATTTGTTTTCGTAATTTTCTTTTCATTTGTTCTTTCTTTCGTAGTTTGGAGGATATAGGGAGCCTGCTCAAGGGCGTTGCTTTGGCTACCCAATCAGAAAAAAGAAATTAAGGGAATACCTCGTTCTGTCCTATTTTCCTGAATGAACCTGACTGGACTCACAGAAGATGGAATTCTTCCTGGTTGCAATCTGCATTCCATATAAACCTTATCTGGTGGGTTTCCTGGCTTGGGAACCACGGGTCGCTAATGACAAGAACCAAATCCAAATCCCAGCAAGCCTCCTTGGGCTTTGAACTCAACTTTGGGATGTGAGAGGACCTGGCAAAATGGAAATACCTTCCCTGACATTTTTGCCCATGTTTTCTAAATTCACTTTCAGATAAGGGCAGCGAGTTTGCTAGAGTGGGAAGTGCTGACAGAGTGTAGTCTACTACAAAATTCTTCCTGGTACTCTAATTATCCTTCCCTTCTCTCCTTCAGTATCACATGTAGCCATGTGTAGAATCATAAAATAATTATGCAGTGTACAAGCTTTCTGGGAGCATGTACCACTGTTTTCCTAATTCTTTATCTCTCCCATTGATCGTGGCGTGTGTGCATTGATCCAAGTCGGCCATCTGGTTAGGCAAGATAAGCATGCTAGTGTCTTTGCACTGCACTGTCACTCAGGGAGGGGGCACATTTTGGCTGTAGGGAATTACGGGGGCAGGATTAGCCCTCTTCCTATGAGGAAACGGAATTTTAAATGCAATGTTGCAGCTGCATGGACCATGTTGCTAACTTCTGGGGTTTTTTGCCACGAGCTGGGTAGATTTTCTTCTTCTTCTTCTTGTTCATTTGTCTCTAAAGGTATAGGGATGCCTTGTATGAAATAGGAGAGGTGGGGGCATTCGGCGAGAAGATTCATTTTTAGCACATGTTAGACTTGTAAGGCATGGATACATTACAGGGAATCCAAATGGCAACATGACTGTCAATCGACTACAAAAGGCTGCTGGGTAAAAAGCATTTTCAATGGAAACTCGTGGCCTCCCCCTACCCCCCTAATAAAATTATTTTAAAGCAGAAAAAATATTTTTATTCATCTGTGCAAAAGAAAAAAGAGAGAAGGGGGAATTGTGCGTGTATCATAGCAGAAGGAATTACAGCAAGAAGCCCAGTGCTGGGCTGTGGGGCATCCTCTCTGTTTATCTCTCTCTTTCACGTATTAAAATTAATGATTGGCCCAAGTTGATGATCACTCAGACAGACTGAATGTGCTGTTTAATTCAGAGACTTTTTTTCTTTCCTTTCCAGCTTTGTTAGCCACTGTTGTTTTTAAAATTTGATTGCAGCCATTGTTGTCTCATATTCTGCAAATGTGTGGAAGACTCAAAAGCTTTTCCTCTAAAATTGAACAATTCTGTCAAAAAAGATTAGTTCTATTTTGTCTGCTGGGTGCTGACTATTCATGAATGTAAAGAGAGAGGGCTTGGGTGTCATACTAAGTCGCTAAGGTGGCTGCATTTCGGCTATTGACGCGAGGGTACCAAACGGAGGTCTACAAAAGAGCAGCCAGAAGGAGAGGGCAGACACGGCCTGCCATGTGTCTGGGCTATACCTTCTTTAGCTGCCCATTTATGTCTTTTGTTGCCAGAACTTTTATTGTCATAGAGTTGAAAAAAAATGTTAGACACAAGCTTCAGGCAGCACCAAGCAGAAAAAGGGATTAGCATATCACTAGGATCATCTTACACTGAACCAAATTCTTTTCAGGATGTATAATTAGCGAATACAGTCTTTTTTTTTTTTTTCTTTTTTTGAGCAGCCTATGTACAGGAAAAAAAGAAAGAAGGAAAAACAACAACATATGAGCTCAGATCTCTGGCTAGCATATTAGACGAAATAAAAGACGCTTGCCAATTTCAGAGTGATATATACATATTAACCATTTCTTCCCAGAACCTTTGCAATTCCCTCAAGAAACGTCTGGCTGAATGGGAAAACTTTATGAATCCCTGCTATTGTCTCAGGTTTTTGTAAGAAGGAAATGCTGTGTGGTTGAACACATTCAAAATTTTAGACCCATTAAATCAGATTCGGGATTAAACGAATGTGGAAGAACTTTTCTGCAGGCGGGTGGAGAGCGGGGCGGGGCTGGGGGCCCGGGAGGGAGGGACTGAAAGGAACTGTACGCTTTCCCTCGGTGACGTTTTACTCTGGGGGGGGGGGGGGGGGGGGGGGGGAGGGAGCTGGCAGTAATTAAAACATGGCATTGGGAAACTGAAGACAGGAAACTGTACCTTTTGGATCGAGTCGTAAATACTTCTGCGAGGCTCGGTCAAAGCTGCCTACAACTCCGTCTAACTTGTATATGCTGTTGGGTGTTTTTATCTGGGATTAGTCAGATGGAAGTTTTGGATGGCTTTCTTTTTATTCTCCCTCTCTCTTTTCCCCCTACAGTTGTGCATTTAAACAGTTTTACATACAACACAAGGTAAGAGCAGATGGATTCAAGTTGGAGTGGATGGATCTCTATTTCCATTTCCCAATAGATAGGCTTTTAGAGATGCCGGGGTAGAGCAGAGAGAGGAAGACTAACCTTTCTTTCCCAAGCCCCCAAGCCCAAAAATAGATCGTTAAGAATTAACAACATAATAATAATAAAACAAGAATTAACAACATAATCATAAGGAGTAAAGGTTCTTACCTGTGTGGAGCTCAGTTGACAATGCTTGAGGTGGCTGTTATTTTTGTGTAGCAAATCGCGGGTGTGTCACTTTAGGTTTGTCAGGATTCTTTATTCATTTTTAATATTTATTGTCAGTTCTCACTCTCCTGTGGATTGCCTCACCCTGCCCTGCTTTCCTCCTACCCCATACAAACCTTTCACAGAAGCATCTACCCTAGCCTGCATGCTGGCTCAACTTCATTTCATATAGCCTAAGGATGCTCTGAGTCTATCTTCGTGGCAGCAGTTTAAAACAAGAAAAGCTAAATGTAACTAGTAACGATGGCACGGATGCGTGGATTCCAAGGAAACGGTCATCTTAAGGTTCACATCCCTTAGGAGACCGGGGAATATTCACTGAGCTTACTCTGGGAATTAGAAACCCCAGTTCTGGCCCTTTATTTTCTTTTGTCTCTGGTTTAGAATTTTGGTCAAATCTTTCTCCCTCTCTTGGGTAGAAACAAAACAGAAAGTCCAAGCGTGGACCTGGGGCCTGCAGAGAACTTTCTGTTGTCTTCGTTTAGGAAAATCACTTGAGTTTGCATCCATGTGTTCCCAAGGACGACTGCAGGGTTCGAAGCTTGACAGGGAAGAAAGAAGAAGACGACATTGGACGACTTAACAAGCATGAGTCAGCTAGATCACTCTTAATTATTTTATTATAGTAGCCATAAGGGGAATTTCACTTTTTGCCACTTCAGCATTTGTGATTTTTAGCCTTTGTCATCACTGTGTTCTTCTCAGCCACGACTCAGTGCCAGCAAGAAGTTAGCCACGTGTGTCCTTGCTTGTGATTTAAGACAATTTGAAGTCACTAGCGCAGCTGCTCTGGTGGCAGAGTGGTTACACATCAGGCTGCTAACAGCAAGGTCAGCAATTCGAAACCACGAGCTGCTCCGAGGAAGAGATGGGGCTTTCTACTCTCCTAAAGAGTTACGGTCGGCAGTTCTACCCTGTCCTACGAGGCTTATCCGCCATGAGTCAGGATCGACTCGGTGCAGTGAGTTTAATTATTTTTTAAAATAATGTTAGTTTGGAGCACATCTGCTGATTTTCTAAGAACAAAGCTTTATCAAATGTGTGGTTTGGTTTCACCCAATCATGGCTATTTAGCTATTCAAGCCAATTTTTTTTGTCTTCTCCCTGAAGGAGTCCTGGAGGCAGAGTGGATCTGAGCAAAGTCACAGTGTGAACCCAGCGGCCACTCTGCGGCAATCCTGAGGCTGCCTGCTCCTGGAAAGAGTTACAGCCTCGGAAACCGTGGGGACATCTCTGCTCTGTTCGGCAGCGTGACTGTGAGTTGG